GGGAACCGAACTCACGACCTTGCGCTTGCCAGGCAGGCGCTTTTTGCAGCTGAGCTAAACCCCCAGCCCTTTTCTTTTTTTTTTTGGTTTTTCTCTGGTACCGGGAACCGAACTTACGACCTTGCACTTGCCAGGCAGGCGCTTTGCCGCTGAGCTAAATCCCCAGCCCCCTAGGTTATTTATTCAATTGTGCTGGAATAGTTGGTTCTCTAAATGTAGGAAATGATTAGAAGCTGACCTTCTACCTAGTCCAAAAAGTAAATTCCACATAAGTAAAGCCCTATATATGAACTACTTAAAAAAAGAAAATTTAGAAAATGCCACTGTGACAAGGAAAGGGCACTGTTTCTTAACACTTAAGAAATGCAAACCATAATTGATGCATTTGACAACATTAGCAAAGAAAAAGAAACGTCTGTGTGACCAGAGTTTAATCAGCAAAGTAAAAAACAAGCCACAAACTGTGAGAAGATACATGAAATGTGTATAGTTGACAATAAGTTGGTATCCAAAATAAAGAACACTGAATCAATTTTATGAACTCAGTTTTTTTTGGTTTGGTTTCATTTTTGTTTTTTCGTGTGTGTGTGTCTTTTTGAGATAGGGTCTCACAATAGTTCAAGGCCTTACTTTTTGTAGCCCAACGTGGCCTTGAACTCTCAGGGATCCTCCTGCCTCACCCTCCCCAGTGCTGGTATTACTGGCTTATGCCACCATGCCTGGCCTCTGAATCAATTTTAAAAAGACACATACTAGAGCAGGGTGTGATGGTGCACGCCTGTGATCCCAGCACTCAGGAGGCTGAGGCAGGAGGATTGTTGCAAGTTTGAGACCAGCCTAAACGGCATGGCGAGACCCTGCCTCAAAAAGACAAAAAAAAAGACACATACTAGAAAAACAGGCAAAATATATGTGTTTTGTAGAGCTGCCATAACCAAACAACTCAGCTATGTAGCTGAAATAACCGAAATTAATTTTCTCAGAGTTCCAGATCCGTGGCCCAAGATGAGTAGGCCCGCAGGGCTGCTCCCTCCTGGGGCTGCTCCTGAGCTTGTAAACGGCCACTTTCTCTCTGCTCGCGTGGCCTTTTCTCTGTGTGCTGCCTCCGTGGAGCCTCTCCATCTACATGTAAGGGCCCCAGACATTCTGATTGAATTTAGTCTTAATTGCTTACCCTGTGTCCAAATGCAGCCACGTTCTAAGACAGGATTCGGGCTTCAGGGGCAATTTTGGCAGGACACAGCTCAGCCCATCACTGCGACAAGCAGATCCTAGGAAAGGAACCCTGTAGGGCCTGTAATTATATGAAAGAGATCACAGAGGAATACTGTTTGATACATATCAGTTTGATAGGTTTTGGAAGAACGTAAAGCCAAAGGAAGTCCTATGTTACTGCAGAAGTATAAATCGCCACAATCATTTTGGAGAATAATTTTACGGACCTGTAAAGTTGAAGTTGTGTTTTCTATACTAGAGCAATTCTACTTCTAGATATATGCCTGGAGCCCACACACACCAGTGTACAAGGAAATGTATGTGAGGGTGGTCACAGCAGTGCTATTTCTAAAAATAGCAAAATTAGGAGAAATTAAATAGTCAACAAAAGAAGTTTAACCTGTGAGTAGAACTAGCTCTACACGTACTTACATGGCTAAGTTTTAGAAGCAAATTTTTTTTTTTTTTTTTTTTGGTTTTTCTCCCGTACCGGGAACCGAACTCATGACCTTGTGCTTGCCAGGGAGGCGCTTTTGCCACTGAGCTAAATCCCCAGCCCCTTAGAAGCAAAATTTTGAATGAAATACTTCTGTTCTGTTTTGTTGCAGTGTTGGGGGCCAAACATACACACATACATACACATGTACATATGTATGCTATTTATGTAAATTTTAAAGCATAATACTATGTATTCACAGCTCACCTAGGGTGCTGCTGCATGTTCTGAAGTTTGAGTGAAACAGTGGTAGTGAACTAGTGGAACTGTTAGGTATTTCTTTTGGTCTATGGTTGCTATGAAAAATCACGGAGACATTAATGTTATCACAAATTGAGGACATGTGGGAACCTGATGTATATTATTTAAAAGGTTAAAAAGATAGTTGGGAAGAATGAGTTCATGTGGGTTTCAATAGAGTGCTTATCTTTGGGGAGGGGAAAGAAAGAGGTCATTAGTTTTATAACATTTTATATCGGGGGCTGGGGATTTAGCTCAGCGGCAAAGCGCCTGCCTTTCAAGCGCAAGGTCGTGAGTTTGGTTCCTGGTACCAGAGAAAAACAAACAAACAAAAAAAAACATTTTATATCATTTGTCTTATTTGCTTTTGATTTTTAAAAAAAGTATAAAGCTGGGCATTGTGGCTCACGCCTGTAATCCCAGCACATGGGAGGCTGAGGCAGGAGGAGCGTCGCAAGTTCAAGGTTAGCCTGGGCTACATAGTGAGTTCAAGACTAGCCTGAACTACATAGCAAGACCCTGTCTCAAAAAACAAAGAAAAAAAGTATTAAATCTGGACAATTTGTCATATTGAGAAGCAGTATAGTATTTTTTTTGTCTTTTTCTTTTTTCCAGTACCGGGAATCAAACTCATGACCTTGCGCTTGCCAGGCAGGTGCTGTGCCACTGAGCTAAATCCCCAGCCCCTAAATTTTTTTTCTCTTTTTTTTTTCTTTTTTCTTTTTTTTTTTGAGAAGCAGTATAGTATTATATTTAAAGTAATATTCTAAAATCTCAGCTGCTTTGTTTAGCAACTCTGTGGCCTCCGAAAAGCGAGTTAACATCTCTTGTGTGTCTCTTTCCTTATTTGTAAAAGAGGCATGGTAGCAGTGCTAAGCTCATGGGATTGTTGTAACATTAAACAAATTTACGTGTGTTTGCTGTTATACTATTATATGTGCTTTTTGCCCTTTGGGAATTTTTAAAATTACAGTACACAAAATAATTTTGAAGATACTTGCAATTTTCTGTAATGGTATTTGTCCAGACTGATAGGTAACATGTTCTTTCATAGTCATCTGGGGAGTTCTTTCCCCTTTGTAAAAAGTTGCTTTGTTTTATTTGCTAGCACAAAACCATAATAAGACCCACACTTGAATAAGGTTTAAATAATAATTAATTCCGAAAAGGTTTCAAAGTTTATTTGTAAATGTAAATATGTTACCGTATACATTTATGATCAACTCATTCTTATTTCTTCCTTTCTCTTTCTAATGAGATGATGACATGGAAAGTTACACAGAAAACATACAAATCCAGCCAGTTGACAGCAGAATTTCTTCCTTGAGACAGTCTGAACCCATTTGCAAGTTTCACTGGATAGCAGCATTCAGTGATGAAGTGTCGTTTCAAACTCCGGCAGAAGGCCCTTCTGCAGAGAGGCCAGAATTGCAAAGTACCATGTACACTTATGCCAAAGACAGCACTGTAACTCAAGATTCATTTAAGGAAAAAAATTCAGTGGCAGCCAGCATTTCTACAGCTAAAGACCACCTTGCTCATGAGTATGTCACACAGTCTTCTAGAGGTCCCAGCCACTACAATGAAGAGACCCTGCAGTGTATGGAAAAGCCACTGGCTACATGTACTGCTGTGGGATCTATCCTCAAGCCTAATCAGCCTCAAAACTTTTTATATAAAGAAAGTGTCTCCAGAAATGGTGAAGACCCATGTTATAGTGGAAATAGCTTTAACCTGCATGATCTGAGACTTCACTATAAGACAGAGGAGGTAAGATTGCTGGTGGCCAGTGCAGCCTGTGGAATATTCATTTGTGCAGGGTTTAGTCTGAGACTTTTCCAAGTACTGCTAAATCACTGAATCAGCATGAGGGATGTGTGTCACTGGGGAAGTATGTTCTGAGAGCTTAACCAATTCAGATACAAATGTTTCTAATTCAAGTCCATACTTGGGGATTAGCTCTACCAATGGTCATTTCTATGAGGTGCAGAACTCTGTCTTACTTGTCTTCTATGTGTCATAGCATCTGCATGGTACCTTGAATGTAACATGGTTTTCATGTTTGTTTAACAAAAATTGCAGAAATTCATAGGGAAGGGTTGATCAGAGGAAGGTGTGCAGATGTATTGCTCAAATCATTTGCCCATAGGAGCTGAAGGTTTTTCTGTTCTGTAGGATTTCTGTGGGGAAGTGAAAAATAGTAATTTTTCTGCCTAAGTGAAAACATTAATTTGTTTTTTGGTGTATTAATTCTGGGCAAACATATAGCATCTTAAAAACATGGAAGATACCCATGATATAATTTTTATGTGCTCTTTAAACAAAAAAAAGCTCTAGGAATTGTTGTGGACAAATAAATAGAATCCAAGAATAGTATAAATAATCACCATTTCAATGTGAATTTATAAGAAAAGCTATAGCTATGATGTTTCATTTCACAAGATGAGTTTGGTTTTTGTTCTTTTTTTTCTTTTGGAAGTAAAGGACAGCATTTGTTTTTTGTTTTTTTTTTTTTTTTTTGGTTTTTCTCCGGTACCGGGAACTGAACTCACGACCTTGCACTTGCCAGGCAGGCGCTTTTGCCGCTGAGCTAAATCCCCAGCCCCCAAGGACAGCATTTGGATGAGAGTTTTATTTTCCCTTACTCATTTCTGGAAAACAACATTTAAAAAAGTCTACTTAATTAGGGTTTCTCATAATTGCTCCTTCATATTTCCATTTTATTTAGTCGTTTTTTCAGCCAGTCAGTAGAAATTTTGGGGGAACTTACTATGTACGAGGCTCCATCCTATGTATTGGTTATATAATGGTTAAAAAACAGACAAGAAAAAAATGTTTCTTACGAAAATGACATCCCAGTAGAGGAGACAGACATTAATAATCACACAAATAAGTGTAAACTTGCATCTATGATAGGAGCAGTATGGAGGTAAGATGGCCATCTGCAATCAGTACTGCCCTGGCCAGGGGGTCTGGTGCAGCTTCCCTAAGAGTCAGTCATCAAACTGGGCGTGGTGGCACACACCTGTAATCCTAGCACTCAGGAGGCTGGGGCAGGAGGATTGCTGCAAGTTTGAGACCAGCCTGGGCTGCATGCGAGTCCAAGGCCGGCCTGAACTATATAGTGAGACCCTGTCTGAAAACAAAAAAAAAAAAATCAGTCATCAAGCTGAGCCCTACAGATGAGTAGCACTCCGAAGGCATCTGTGGGTGGAAGAGCACTGCAGGCCTGAGTTACAGCGTCTGTGGAACCCTTGTGACTGCAGGGAGTACGGTGTCTGCTAGGACTGGAGGGAGCCCGGTGTCCATGAAATGCGGGTTTCAGCGAGCAGAAGGGGTGCGGTAAGTGAGGACACAGGGGAGACCAAGTCAGCTATCAAAAGCAGATAATCTCGTCTTGGAGGCTTCAGTAAGGTAAATGTCTTCATCCCACAGCAGCAAAAACCCATGAAAAACCAGGGTTCTCATATCTCTCAATTGGTCTAATACCACTCCTCCAGGACTCTCAGTGGATTTCCAGTGTCATTCATTTCAGGGTCCCTTGCCGCAATTTATTATCCTTTGTTACCGCCCCACTCCTCCAAACCTGGACTCAGGGCATAAAATCAATCACGAGGTATGTTGATCAGCCATTCTAATGTTTATAGAAGTCATAGCATAGTGAGGTGATGGCTTAAATAAGGAATTCTGGCCAGGTGTGATGGCACACACCTGTAATCCCAGCCCTTTGGAGGCTGAGCCAGAAGGATTGTAGTGAGTTGGAGGCCAGCCTGAATTACATAATGAGACCTTGCCTAAAAAAAAAAAAAAAAATTTTAAGTTTTAATTTCAAACAGAGTCTCTGGTCTGTAAGCTAGTTGATACATTAATTTGTTTTAATTCATCTGTATATGTTCAGAAAAGTTTGCATGATAGAAAATTGTGATCCTTAAGGTATAATTTTTCTTCCATCAAAGTAAATATGAATATGTGTCTCTATAATATATATACGTACTGCTTGTGTTCTGCTGTGTTGTTAGCTACCGTACATGCATTCAGCAGCTAATATTTAGGTATTCACTTTGTCAGGTAAATATTATTTGAAGTAGTAATTATTGTTCTTTGATGGCTGAGGAAACCAAACTAGCAACCTAGAATTCAAGATCAGATCAGACTCCAAAGATCTTTCTGTTCTTTCACATTTATTTTACTTACTATGATTTACAGACTGAAGTTGCTTCAAAAGAAATACAAATTTCTGAGGAGAGTCCTGAGATATTAGCCAGTCACCGGGAGGAAGTCCTAGTGGAAGACTTGGAGAGCCCAAGGACTGGCTCAACTTGGGGCCCAGCAGGTGTGTGCAGGAGTGCTGAAGCCTCTCGGGAGACCTGTGTGATGCCTGACACAGAGCAAAGCTTTGAAAGCTTCCAACTTCTGGAGGAGGACATGGCTTTAAACGAAGCATTACAGAGATTGCAGCACACTAACAGAGAGCAGCAAATGCAAATCCAAGACCTTCAGTGTAGCAACCTGCATTTACAGAAGAAGAATAAGGAGCTGCAGATGAAGATTCTGAAACAGCCATTGTTCTTTGACATCATCAATAAACTCGAGAAGAATATGGAAGAATTAATTGAGGACAAGTACAACATGAAGCTAGAGAAGAATGACATGAACAGGAAATTGCAGAATTTGCAAGAGATTTTAGCTATCACTGAAAAACATCTACAGGAATCCAGGAAAGAGAAGGAAACCTTACAGCTTGAAGCTAAAAAGATCAAGGCCGATTATATTCTTTTACAGGAAAAGTACATGACTGAAGTTCAGCAGAAAAATAGATCTGTAAGCCAGTGTATAGAGATGGATAGAAGCTTGATCGAGAAAGAAGGGGAAGTCGAAAGACTGCAGCACCTCAAAGGAGAGCTGGAGAGGGCCACCACTTCTGCTTTGGACCTGTTGCAAAGGGAAAAGGAGACCCGAGAGCAAGAGTTCTTATCTTTACAGGAGGAATTCCAGAAACGTGAGAAGGAAAACCTGAAAGAGAGACAGAAATTGAAATTGAGAGTTGAGAAATTGATCGCTCAAGTTAAAAATTTGCTACACATGTGTGAAAATGAAAAGGCTAAGAATAGAAAACTCCAACAGCAGATCAACGAGGTGAAAAATGTAAACGCACAACTTCAAGAGCAGGTCACAAGGAATAAGGAGCAGAATTATGTCCTAAATGTTGAGATTGCTCAGATAGAGGAGAAATTAGACGAAGGAATGGAGCCAGATATTGCCAAGGTATTGCTGTAGATTCTTTTTTTTTTTGGTTTTTCTCCAGTACCGGGAACCGAACTCACGACCTTGCGCTTGCCAGCAGGCGCTTTGCCGCTGAGCTAAATCCCCAGCCCCGTTTTTTTGTTTTTTTTTGTTTTTGTTTTTGTTTTTTTTTTTGTTTTTTCTCCAGTATGAGGAACTGAACTCATGACCTTGCGTGTGCCAGGCAGGAGCTTTGCCACTGAGCTAAATCCCCTGCTGTAGATTCTGAATCGGTAACCCAGAATTCCAAGTTTCTAGTAGCCTGTTGATGCACTTAGACATGGCAATCAACATGCCATATTTTAAGTGCACTCATATGAAGCCGGGCTTGGTAGTACATGCCTGTAATCCCAGCAGCTGGGAGGCTGAGGCAGGAGTATCACAGCAAGCTCAAGGGCAGTCTGGTATATAGTGAGTTTAAAGATAGCCTGAACTACATAGTGAGAACCTGTCTCAAAAACCAAAACTAAAGTTCACTCACCTGAGTTGAAATTTGGGTACGTAGGTTTGTCACGTTTTTGATCCGAGACAAATCCCATTTCTGTTTTGTTTTAGCTAAAATTTAGCCTCAGGAAAAATCTTTTAATCTAGTTTCCCAAACTTTTACCTTTAGGACATCACCTTTCCCCATGCTGAACATTTCAGAGAGAGTGAGAAATTGAGTGAAGTAATGCTGCAAAAGTTGAAGAGCCTTCATGTGAAAAAGAAAGATTTTGATAAAGAGGTACTATTTTTATTCTTTGTTCAAAAAATTCTGAAGCCGGGTATGGTCATACCCTCTGGTAATCCCAGCACCCAGGAGGCTGAGGCAGGAGGATAATTACACGTTCAAGGCCAGCCCGGACTACGTAGCCAACCCTGTCTCAAAAAGAAAAGAAAAATTCTATCAGTTTAATGAAAAAAAAAAGAAAGTCAAAAAGGTCACAGAGGAATCACTCCTGACATTCAGATTCCTTGAAGAATTGGTCTTGGGGGTCAGAGTAGCTGTACTATGTCCTCACTAGGTAGGTATACCGCTCAGCATTTGAGCTGTACTATGTCCTCACTAGGTAGGTATACCGCTCAGCATTGTTCTCTGATGTGCCTATTAGAGAATCTCCTTCATCTACAAATTCAGGGTGATTGCTTTTCTGGATTTTCATGGCGCTGTTGATCCCAAACAATCACTTATTTTGACATGTTACAGTGATTTCAAACTTCACTTGAAATAATGGAAATTTTTTTTTTTTTTTTTTTTTTTGGTGTGTTTGAGACAGGGTCTCACTATGCAGTTCAGGCTGGTTTTAAACTTACTTTGTAGCCCAGGCTGGCCTGGAACTTGCAACAATCCTCCTGCCTCAGCCTCCCGAGTGCTGGGATTACAGGCTCAAGTCACTACACCTGGCGGAAATAATGGAAATTTTGGAAACATTTTATTTCTCGGAAGAAGGACAGTAAGAGCAGACAGTCTCTGTTTCTCCAGTTACTGTTTCCTTGGTGTGGAGGTGCACAGGATGACAGATAAAAGCAAGCAAGTTAAATAGGGGAGGAGCCAGCGGGATGTTAAACTGTGTCATTTTTTAATCTGAGGGGAATACACAAATGATAACTGACAAAGCACAAAAGCATATTCACATCTGGAGTCTTGGGTCAGAGCAAAGTTAGTGCTTCTCTGAATTGATGTGGACGAAAGGTTTGCTGCGGGTGCTCTGAGGAGTCTGTCTTCTAGTGAAGCCATAGAGGAAAGGGGCGAGGAGGAAGCAGAGCCTGCAGAGGACCTCTGGCCTCCACTTCCATGCTCAGCCCTTGGAAAGTAAGCCCGACTGAGGAGGTTGCAGAAGCTGGGTTTCAGTTCCTTCTGCTCTCTTGGCCAATTCCCCGGGCGGTCACTGAGAAGTGGACGGGAGGGGGGGGGAAGGGGCGTGGCCACTGAGCGCTTGCTGCAGGGCGCTCCCTGGAGCGGAGCCCGGGGCTCCACTCGGAGCTGTGTGCATAGGCACCTTCCGCCTCGCGCCATCTGAAGCAGTGGCCCCCGGAAGGGGAGCCCCAGGTGCTTGGTTCAAACCACCTGCTTTGGACAGCCAAGCTGGCACAGCGGGCCTCTCCTGTCAGGAAAGGCGGGAGGCCACGAGTGCGAGGCCGTTCTGAGCCCAGCAGTTTCAGGCCTGCTGTGTGAACCCATTCCTCACAAGAACTTAGAGACACAGTGTCTCCAGGAGACCGGAAATTGGACTGCGCACAGTGTGATGACTTCCTTGTAAATCCTATACAGAATGTACTTGTATTTCCTCTCCTCTAAAATATCAATGCTTTTGCTCTTTAGCTACTGAAACATAAAGACAAAATCTCAAATTTTAGAGAGTTAATTGCCAGTGAAAAAGCATTTCAAGATCACGTCGTTGAGGTGAGTTTAACATTTATTACGCATTGTCGTTAATGTGTTAAAATACAAGGGTTGATATTTATGGTCCGTAGATAAATCGGGTGAAGGCCTGCTAGGTCGAAGTCCTGTACTCCTAGGATTCCAGCCTCTCGCCAGGCAGTCCTCTCTTTGATTATTGAGCTAGTGAATCTCTATTGTGAATGTGCCAAGGACTGTGTAAGTATTGAAAGTGAGCACCAATATATTTAATCTCAGATCGCCAATTTTGATTCGGATGAAGCCAAGAAAGTGAAAGATGTTCCTATCTTATTGGGAGTCAAACTGGATGAGTACCACATTCTAAATGAGGAGCTTGATTCTGTGGTAAGAAACACCTTTTGTTACTTTGCTGTCACGTTAATACCCGACACCATCTTGTTCACAAGTATAAGGAATTATTAACCTTCCGAAATTTGCTCCTTGAAAGGGTCACACACTGGCATGGTGGCGGTACTGTACTTATTACAGAAATACAAAACTGATGTAATTTCATGTGTTGAAAAATTTCTTTTGTACTGGGAATCGAACTCAGGACCTCGAGCTTGCCAGGCAGGAGCTGTACCACTGAACTATGTTCCTGGCCCCAGGAATATAGTGTCGAAATTTTAAATAATTATCTTAGTTTCTGTTTGGACTACAGTGGTCAGATTTATGTCAGTCAAAGTGTAGAAACCGCAAAATACATGCTATTTTTCATTGTAAATGAAGCACATTTCTATGGTGCCATATGCTACCATACGGTCATCAGATGGGGGAGGGACCAGCAGTCTTTTCCAGGTTCTTATTTCTCTTGGTGGGTGAGTTGGTCAGGACGATTGCTGGGGGTGAAGGATGTCTGTTTAATTTAGGCAGAAATAAGAAAAGGAAAAGAAGTGTTCAGGGAGAAAGGGTGCTTTGAAGGAAAAAGAGATTTCTTGCAAGAAAAGACCACTGTTGAGTTCAAGGCTGGCCTGGGCTGCATAGTAAGACTGTCTCAAAACAGAAAAACTCACTGCCCTACTGAAGAAATAAGTCAATAATCACAGGTTACGTCCACACAAAATTGGCTCAAGCACAAGACAGCAGTGGCCACAAAGGCAGTTGCTGCTGTCCTTTCGTGTCTTCTTTGGTGGTAGATGCAGTTGGTCCCATCTGATCTCATACTAGAAGATTGGTATCAGGTACCAGGCTCGGCGTGTTCTTGTATCGCGAGATTGGCACGAGGTGCAGGGCTGGGCTTGACCCTGGGTCAGGCTCTGGAGCTGCTGCTCTGCGCCATGGTTAAGGAGTCTCCTCAACTGGCGGGTCACACACCACTGCCCAGCCACGTTGCTGTGCCCTTGCCTCGTCCTGCAGTGTTCGCTGCATGTAACAGCCATGAGTGCGAAATAGAGCTCATCATTTACTTCAGGTGGTCTGTAAAGATAGAAGCGGAGAAACGGGATTCCATTAGAAGAGAATGACAGTGTGTTCTTGGAACCTAGATAGTTACAGAGGAATTTTAAAATTTAGTTCAGTGCGATTTTCATGCAGTGTGTACTGATTTCAAGTTAGGGCAGCTAATGCTCAGTCATTTTTTTGTGTTTGGAGTTTTGAGCTCTTCTCTTGTTATTTGTAAAAGATATAGTAGATGATTGTGAATTCTAGCTGCTCCATTGTTGGAGAGAAGACTAGAATTCATTAGCTCTCTCTGTCTGGTTCTGGTGCCCTTTATCCAAATTCCCTTCTCCCACTCTTCCCAGCCCCCAGTAATCACTATTGTATCTTTGGATCAACTTGTTTAGCATCTACACAGGAGACAGATTCTGTGCTATTTGTCTTCCTATGTCTTTATTTCACTTGACATAGTGCCCTGTGATATTGTCTTCATTATTTATGTAAGAAAGGAAAAAAAGGAAGGGCAGTTTCTACAGCCAGTTTGCTTCGCCATTGCTTACTATAGGCTTCTCCACAGTAGAGACCGAAATATATTTAAATGAGAGATTAAAAGGCATTCTAAACTGGATGTGGGGGCGGTGCACGCCTGTAATCCCAGCACTCGGGAGGCTGAGGCAGGAGGATCTCTGCAAGTTTGAGACCAGCCTGGGCTACAAAGTGAGCTCAAGGCCAGCCTGAACTACGTAGCGAGACCCTGTCTCAAAAAAACCAAAAAAAAAAAAAAAGGCATTCTTAACACTGTATTCACTGGGCAAACTTCTATATTTTTTCTCCTATAATTGCTCTGAATATTAAGGTAACAGCTAGGGGAACTTGTGACTACCCTGTCCTGATAATTCTAAATGTCACTATTGGAAGCACAGTTTAAAAATTTTAACAGTTCCTTGCAACTAAAAATGGACCATACACCAGACCATGAAATATATAAAGCCAAACATTTTTTAAAAACCTCCAGTTGTTTGTGCGAGGGAGAATGTACCTCAGACCTAAGCATTTATCATCCCCCACAGTCGCACTGATTTACTTCAGACCAAAGCAGACATATTAGTGCATTGAGTATGGGAAAGAAAGTAAAGATTTGAGGCTCACAAATATTTGTATGTACTAATAGATACTTAGTTATTTGCAAAGTTATTTCATAGTGTGAGATCGGAGAAAAGATAAAACACTCTTATAAATGTTGCTCCTCTGTTCCGTGTGCAGTCTAAGGAGGATCTGGTTCCTAGCATCACGCGAGTCACCTTCTGTAGGACTCAGTGTAGGTGGATGTTGGGCTCTGAGTGCAGTGGTGCACACTGGGGAGGCTGAGGCAAGAAGATCGCAAGTTCAAGACCAACCTGGGCAACATAGAGTAAGACCCTATCTCAAAAAAAAAAAAAAAAGATCAGGATTGGAAGAAGGCTAGCTCGCTGTCCTCTTGTTCTCAGCACCTATATTAGCTTTCAAGGTGTTTTCCAGGTTAATATTTTCACTGACGTTTCTCTATAGATCAAGAAATTGGGAAGCCTTGTAGAGTCGAAAGACCACCACTGCCACAAGCTCATTGAAGAGAATGACACGTATCAGCGACAGTTAGGCTGCTTAATAAGTAAGGTACACATTTTCTTACAGAAATATCTGCCTTTTAAAAACTACACCAGATATTAAAATAATGGAATTCTGGAGGAAGAGGATCTGAGGTTTGACGTGGCGCACTTACACTGATGCCTTTCCCTTTCCAGTGGCACTCTAAGATGTCCCACCTGCCTCTAGCTGGACGCTAGCAGCGGGCACAGTGTGTGTCTGTCCATCCTGCTGCAGGCAGTTGAAAGCCTTCGCACTGCTCCGGCGTAATTATAAATCTTGCTAACCTGGTGTTCCAGTTTAGTTTTTAAATCTATGTGAACTTTAACCAAATAGACCTGCTCCTTCACTGATCCCGGCTGTGTGGGAGACGCTGTGTGTTTATTCACTGCAGTTATCTGTGGTTTGGACATGATGCATAGACATAATTCTATTGTTACTCATATTTCTCATCTCAAAATCTCAGGGAGATGCTCTTCCTGTTGTGCAGTTTTCATTGGTGTAGTCAAATAACTAACTCAAACTTGCGAGATTTAAAAGAAGAGAAAGTAAACTATGTTTAATAAAACACTAGAATTTGTTAAAGGATGATTGACTTAGTTTTTTTTTTTTGCAAGGTTGCATCGTATGAGGAAATTATCAAATGTGCTGACCAAAGGCTCGAGGGATCCCATTCCCAGATTGTGCAGTAAGCTGCTAAAATTTTGTTTTCAATTTTATGAATATTTACTGATATTTTAGTTCACTCTCTGGCTTCTATGTTCATTTTCTCTGACTGCCAGACAGAAGAAAAGTAAGGATTTGTAAATTCAACCTCTCCTTCATGAATGTAGCTATTCTGCTTACTGTCTGCAATGTTTAAGACAAAGTTCAACAAGAAAATTTTTTTTTTTTTTTTTTTTTTTTGGTTTTCTCCGGTACCGGGAACCGAACTCACAACCTTGCACTTGCCAGGCAGGCGCTTTTGCCGCTGAGCTAAATCCCCAGCCCCCAACAAGAAAATTTTTATGTTCCTCCTGTTAATTTTAGGGGGTGATGAAGGAATGAGTAGGAAACATCCAAAAATTTAGAAGATATTGTCATAATATCCAAGTAAAATAACTTTGCAATGCTTATAATTTATTCACAAAAGTTATTGAGTGCATGCAAAATTAAACATGTATGAAGTATCAAGTAAATTCTTTCATCGGAATGAAATTCAGCTTGAAGCATTCCAAAAATAGCCTTCATAAATTTTGCCACTTTCCATTGATTTATTATTTTCTTTTCTTTTGTCTTTTTTTTTTTTTTTTTTTTTTTTGAGAGAAGGTCTCACTACACAATTCAGGCGGGTCTTGAACTCACTTTGTATCCCAGGCTGGCCTCAAACTTGCCACAATCCTCCTGCCTCAGCCTCCTGAGTATTCTCACTTTTAATTGCTGCTGCTTCCACCCCCTCCCTCCGATTTCATTCATACTTCACAAGGGTAGGGCCTCTTGTTACAAAGAAAGCCCACCTGAATTTAGGCACTTTCTATAGCACTCCTGCATCACAGGGTAATTGAAATATAGCTATTTGTAGCTTTGTTTCCTTCTGGTTTTCACTGTCATTGTGATGCAGAGCAAATGGTAAGCAGATTCTCTGTTATTTTGAGACTAATACAGGCAAGTTTTACATCTGAAGTGGGGAGAGGATATGGTATACTGAGAAGGAAGAAAATTAGAGTCTTCTACAACTGATAGCCAAGAAAGTTCAGTCAGTGCTCAACAATCATGGGCTCATGGGATACCAAATTTAAAAAATAAAATAAAGATTTTAAAAACAGTATCAAACCACCGGGCGTGGTGGCACATGCCTGCTATCCCAGCACTCGGGAGGCTGAGGCAGGAAGATCATTGCAAGTTTGAGACCAACCTGGGCTACAAACTGAGCTCAAGGCCAGCCTGAACTGCATAGCGAGACCCTGTCTCAAAAACAACAAAAGCAACAACAACAACAACACATATCAAACTGTGATTTTGGCCATGTTGTCTTGCCCTAGTTTTTTTTTTTTTTTTAATTTAAAATATTTTACATGTATGTTTCCATTGAGAGACTGATCCAGTTCAAGAAGTGTCATCTGAATTCTATAACCTGAGATCCAATGAATGGCAGAAGAGACTTTTCAGATATGATTACAGTGGGGTCTTGAAATGAGGAGATTGCCTTGGATTATCTGGGCGGGCCCGAAATGCAGCCCCAAGGGTCCTATGGAGTGGGAGGCAGGAAGAAATCTGATGACAGACGGCTGAAGACGCAGTGTGGTGGGGGAAGAGGGCTGAGGGGTGCTGTGATGTGCAGCCGAAAGTGTTGCATGGCCCCAGACATCCGCGGGTGGTTCTAAGCCCCTATGCTATGGTTGTTGCAGCAGCCACTGGAGACTCGTACACCCTCCCTGAGTGGGAAAATGGGTTTGGGGAGGAAACTACCTCAACTAAATTTGCCCTCCGAGGCCAACAAGGGAACCCACTGGTGTGTCTGGTTAAAAGCCTTAGAAACCGCACAAGTGCGCCTCGCAGGAATGGTGTGAGTCCTCTGACCCAACACATCTTCCTGCGGCAGATAGGCTGCAGCTGCGAGGGTGTGTCTCTCCCAAGCTGCCCCCAGGCTTGTGCCGGGTTGACTCACACGGACACCGTTCTCTGAAAGCCCCTAGAAGAATATTTGAATGTCGTTTTACATATTTGCTACCACCCCCCGCCCTTCTGCACCACTGGAATCTATAAAGGGGCAAGTAGGTTTACCTGCTCAAACCCTCCAGTGCATCTGCAATGTATTCGCTAGAAAAGTCCTTTTCAGTCATAAAATTCAATTGTTTCTTCCTGCAGTTTGGAAGAGAGAAATAAGTATTTGGAAGATTTAATTAGAAGGCCCCCAGACAGAGCCAGAAAACTAAGGTAAGCTTTCCTTCCTTTTTAAAAAAAACAGTATCTTGCTGGGCATGTGTCACATCCGTGTAATCCCAGTCCTTGGGAGACAGGATCAGGAGCTTGAGGCCAGAGTGGGCCATGTAGTGAGTTCAAGGTGAGCCAAAATTACATAGTGAGACTGTCTCAAAAAGGAAAAGGCTTAAAGTGGAAGTAGGAGACAAAAATTAAAGTTGCGTTAAAAATTCTGTGATGCTAGAGGTTGAGCCTGGGGCCTCACGCATGCTAAGCTAGGCGTCTTCCACTGAGCTGCATTCCCAGGCCTTGAAAGTTATTTTTTAACTTATAAATGAAACCATTAAAGACTGTACATATGTATGGGGTATCATGAGACGTTTTGACACATGTACATTCTGCAGTGTTTAAATCAAGGGGAACATATCTCCCCAAACATTTGTATTTCTTGGGTGAAAATATTTAAAACCCTCCTAGCTCTTTGAAATATGCCGTATATTATCGATAGTCACCATCCCATGCAACGGTAGCATGTCACAACGTCCTGCTCCTCACTGTCACTCAGTACCCCTGCGTCAGCCTCTCCGCCTCCACTTCCTGGCCTTTTCTCCCCAGCCTCTGCCAACCCCGTCCACCTCCCAGCTTGTCTGAGACCCTGTTTCTCATAACCCCCGTACGAGTGGGAGCACGTGGTGTTTGTCTGCTGTGTCTGGCTGATTTCACTTTAATATAATGATCTTCAGTCCCATCCACACGATTGCAAACAGCAGGATTTCCTCCTTTGGGCTGAGTAGCGTTGCACTGTGTGTGTACCACACTGCCCCCGTCCACTTCTCAGCTGGCGGACAGCGAGGTGCTTCCGGATCCTCAGCTACAGGGAATAGTGCTGCGGTGAACACAGTGGCACAGATGCTGCCTTGACGTACTGATTTCCTTTCCTGGACCCAGCGCTGGGATCCTGGGACCATAGAGCAGCTACTTTTAATTTCTTGAGGACCCCTGTACTGTTTTCCATAAAGGCTTACTAATTTACATTCCCACCAGCAGAGTGCGGGGGATCCCCTCTCCACATCCTCACCAGCACTTCTTATTATTTGTCTTTTTTTTTTTTTTTTTCTGGTTTGGTCAGAGAGTGTTCTATTTTCTTTCCTTTTTCCAATCAGATTTTATTGGTGCATTTTAGGTATACATAGCGATCACATTCTCGTTTGTCTTTTTGATCATAGCTAAGGTTTTATTTTAATTTTGTCACAAGCCATGTTTGTTCAACATACCTTTTGCAAATACAATTATGTTTTGAAAGGTCAGACTTAAACTATCTCTTGTGATAGTTAATGTTTTCCCTCCCTCCTTCTCTGCCTCCCTCACTTCCTTCTCTTCGTTATGAAGTGTTGGGGATCGAACTCTGGCTCCAGCCTGCTAGACAAGCACTCTATCACTGAGCTATAGCCCTAGCCTAATATGAAAGAATGTGAGCCAGCTGTAGTGACTCATGTCTATAATCTCAGTATTCTGGAAGGCTGAGGCAAGAGGATCTTGAGTTCATGCCCAGCCTGGGCAATTTAATGACTTAATGAGACCATGTCTCAAAATGTAAAAAAATTTTTTTTCTTTTTATTTTATTTTTAAAAAATTTTTAAAAAGGTGCTGGGGATCAAAGGCCCTGGGTTTAATCCCTAGTACAAAAAAATAAAAAGGAAGAATGTGTTGTGACCTAATGCCTGCCGTATCACTAATGCTCGGTAAATGCTGATTTCCACTGAAAGTGGATCTTCTACAAATTGTGGAGAGAAACTATGGCATTTTTTAGGATTATGTTAATGAATAACGTTTGTATATCAATGTACATGATTCACCAGCTGAGCAGCTAGTTTAGTCCCCCGTGAGGCCACGGTGGATTTGAAGCTTTTGCACAGATGTAGACCGGCCTTGAAGCAAGGGGTGATGTGGAGCGGTGACCTCCGGGTCCCTGTGCAACGGTGGAGGCCTCTTAGTAGGAAGCAAGACCTGTAGCCTTCAGCCACCGGGGTCCTGGAAGCCTCCAGCTGAACAGCAGACCCCTGCATTCGGCTGGTGACCAGGCTGCGACTGCCGCATCCTCCCCTCAAAGCCTCAGTGCCACTCGGGCCGGTCGTCTTTCGTGATGGAAATCGTGCAGATTCAGGATCTAAAAGGCAGCACTTTAAATAGTCTCTGATGTCTGATTTCCCCCCACTCTTCATCACTTTCAAGCAAATTCATGAGGTCCTCAAGTCACAGCCCTTCTCCTAAGTAGCTCTCTGGTGATGTCAAATGCAAGAAGACTCTGGCACCAGGGTTTTATTCAAGTGCGTTGGGAATGATCCACATAGTACATATCAACCATGCTTTTTCCTTCCAGCTGCTTGGGAGGCTGAGGCAGGATGACTGTAAGTTCATGATGGCCAATCTAGGCAAGTTAGTACGGTCCTGTTTTAAAATTTTAAAAAAAGGAAAGAAAAGGTCTGGGAATGTAGCTGTCTGGTAGAGCACTTCCTTAGCATGTGCAAATCCCTGGATTTGATCCCAATATTACAAAAAAAAAGCTTTATCTTAATCTTTTGGGATCTCATAGTTCTACCCCAGATAGTAATTCTCCTCGAAAGTGAAAGAGGAGCTGGGCGTGGTGAGGCACGCCTATAATCCCAGCACTTGGGAGGCTGAGGCAGAAGGACTGCTTGCTGCAAGTTCAAGGCCAGCCTGGGTTACAAAGTGAGTTCAAGGCCAGCCTGAGCTACAGGGAGACCTGTCTCAAAAAAAAAAAAAGAATAGAAAGTGAAAGAGATATGCTAAACAACGGCATATGTTTTCAACTGTTCACTATTTCAATTCTTTCCCACTTTGAAATTTCTTTCTCTTCCCTGCAGAACAAGATCAGAAAATCATCCAAAGTCCATGACCTCGGTAGGTTATGCTGAGAGACACGATAAAGACTGCTGTATTTCTGGGTGATCTGACAATAACACGAGGTGCACACAGCTTCCTGAAGTTCCATTTCGGCAGGGGTCAGATCGCCTTCTCTGACCTGCAGTGCGGGCCTCTTCTGCTTTCTGTCCTAGTTTGAGCGGTCCCTTCTCTTGTCTGAGGTGTTGCTTGCTGGGGTCCCCTTACCCCCATTTCAAGCCCGCCTCGTGTTTCCTCTGATCTGCTATAACCAATGCCTCGCTGGTGTTTCCGCCTTCGTTTGGCTCCCGGGCACTGTGTCCTCCACGGTGTGGACAGGCTCAGCTTTCATAAGCAAAGCATGACCTTCCTGGAGGTATCCTGGGTCCCTGTGCAGCTGAAGGTATGGCTCTTGCCTCCCTCTCCATATCTAACCCTGTGCCGGTCTCTACACGTGCTGTGTGTGTGTGTGTGCGCGCGCGCGCGCGCCTCGGTCCCCCCACATAACCCTGCAGGCGCATGCTCGTCCTCTCCCGAAGCCTCTCCTGCCTTTTCTCCCACTAGGAACTGTTGCTTCCTCCATGTGCGTGCGCAGAACCCTTGACATAATAGGGCCTCTGTGTGGCATTACATTCTCTGCCTGTGCGTCTCTGGGCCTGGCTTGAGCTCCTCTGGTGCAGGAATTGTCTCATGAGCATTTGTTTTGCTGTCTCCAAGCACCTGTCCCACTGTAAGATGTGTCAGCTTTATGAACAAGGCCAAAGCTATACCTTCCTATTAGAAGGCACAGCTTCCGGTGCTCCTGTCCCACCCAGATATGTTTTGTGAATACTGTGGCCTTTTTAATACTGTGGCCTTTTTTAATACTGTGGCCTTTTTGTTTTTGTTTCTTTGAGACAGGATCTTGCTAAGTCATAAAGTACTCAGGCTGCGTTCCTTGCTAAGTCTTTAAGTACCAGGGCTGGGCACCTTACCTCTGGGTACCTTTCAACCTCAGTCGAGAGAAAGTTCTGCAGTTGAGGAGCTCTGGGATGACCAGTGTTCTCTGTGGAACAAAAGGCTGGGCGTCCAAAAGCTCACGCCTTTTACTGGTTTCAGTCAGAGAGGTGGATGAGGGTCACAGCAGAGTGCTAGGGAAGAGAAACTTTGCAGGCATGGCTGTGAGGAGAAACAGCAACTTTGTACCAGGCACAGAGGCCTGGAATACACAGCGAGACCTTGTCTCAAAAGAAAAAAAAAAAAAGAACTAGTTGTTCAGGAATTCTGTCACTTTTGAAATGTTTTTGTTTTCTTTACTTTGTGTGCATGTGTGTGTGTGTGTGTGTATGTGTGTTTGTTTTTTGAGACAGGGTCTCGCTATGTAGTTGAATTTACTATGCAGCCCAGGCTGGCCTCAAACTGAGATCCTTCTGCCTCAGCCTCCCCTGGGATTGCAAGCATGCACCATCATACCTGGCATTTTGCTTTCATTTTTAAATGCCAGATACTTTTAAAAAAATAGAAATGATTTAGATTAAATAAGACTAAAGAGTAAGCACTAGTCATTTTTGAACCACTCCAGGAGGAATCATTACTAAATATACTACTCCAATTAATCCATAAAATGGTGTATTAAGCCACATATAAACACTGAAGTGTTACATTCCAAAAACTTGACTGTGAAAAATTTCTTCCAGTGAAAATCAGTTTCCACTTCAACATAAACAAGTGAATGCATGACTCCTAAATATTTTTCCAGAATACCATATGGTCAGGCATTTCCTGTATGTGTGTGGTGGAGCTTGAACCCAGGTCCTTCACACTAAGCTACGTCTCCGGCCCTTTCTTTATTTTTTATTTTAAATTATGAAGTTGCCTAGGCTGGGCTTGAATTTTTGAGCCTTGTGCCTCAGCCTCTTAAGAGTGCGGAAATTACAGGTTATCGGACCTTTAATTATGCACCACAATGTTGTGAACTTCAGAACATTTTGTTTCCCCTGCAAGACGTCTTTCTTCTCTCCGAGCAAGTGGGCAGGTTCTTCCTACCACCAGCCAACTTTAAGAAGACGATAATTCCAAAGTCCCCACCCAGGATTTAATTTAAGATCTAACCCTTCTATTTTCTCTCTTAACATGGTTTTGAGGTAGTTGTGCATTTAAATAAAGGACCCAGAGACTTCTGATTTCGGGAAATACAGCAGGAAAATAAATGAAGACATAACACACATACGAGCTTTTTGATAAATCCAAGAACCACCCTGAAAGTATAGCTGTTGATCAAAATATATGTTTTGTTTCACTGGAGTTAGAATTGTATTTAATCAGAGGAAAATATATATGGAATATATAACTGGTCCTGCAGGAAGTGCTGAATAAATAAAAGCTATTATCCTTGTGATTTTTCTTGAGAAGTGCTGTATGTTCTTATATAATGTAGAAACAGAAGGTCTGTTAATTTCTCAAAATCACAAAGCTGGAATACTTGGTTGGAAGGACACCCTGCAGGGCCTCACACAGGGCCCAGGCCTGGCAGCCGTAGCTGGGTAGATCTGGCCTGGGGCACCGGAGGGCTCTGCACGGGTGAGGCAGGAGAGGGAGAGGAGGCCCAGACAGCCTGGGAGCTGGCATTGTCATACTCGGCAATGCAGTGAACTCATTTTTTAAAAAATAGAAAGCCCCACTTCCCCACCTTGCTGGGATCAAACTCAGAGCCTCATACGTGCTAATCAAGCATTCTACTGCTGAACTACACCTCCAGCCCTCTCTGATTACATTATTCTGAAACAGTCTCAATAAATTGCCCAGGCTGCCTTCGAACTTGTGATTCTCCTGCCTCAGCCTCCTTACTGCCTGACTGGTAGGGATTATGGGCATGCAGCACCACACTGGCTAGGTATGTGTGTCTTAATGGTAAAGCATAAAAGACTTAAGTATGTTGAAAGCACATAAGAAGTTGGGACATAACGTGAGAAACCTGAGAAATGCACCATAAATTGCCGCTATAGCAGTGTTTCCTTTTAGAACTTAGTCCCTGAGCTTGGAAAACTTTGAAGTGATTCAAGTTGGAAAGACATTTGTTATTATTAATGGTTTCCTGGGACCCTGTAGGAAAAAATAAAATACAGTAAGAGAAGACGGCTCTTGAATGAGGACGGCCACATCTGGAATCTACACATAAATGGGAAGAAACAGATAGAAGGGAAGCATTAACCCAGATTGTCTACACACAGGGCTCCAAGGATACATGCTCACTCGACATGTGCATTATGAGACATTTGTTCTTTTACCTACAGGAGAACTCAAAATGAGTGTGCCTGTCTTGGTGCATGGCTCATGGGTATAGATACTAAGCCGGTCCTTCTCTCAATAAACATTTCATGACCTGCAGCAAAGTGTGTAACAGGCTCTATGTCAGGTGTCAAGGCTATGAGGAAAATGGAGTGAAGACCACAAGGGGTGCCTGATGTCCTGGGAGAGATGTGACTGACTGGGGGCTGCAGACGGGAAAACCTCAGGGGAGCTTTTACATAAGGGCCAGAGACAGCTCTCCAGCGTACCTAGGTGCCCCCCAGGAACAAGAAAGCTAGGGTCTGAGGGCCCCAAGATGGCTTGTTCTGCGCCCGGAGCCACAGCAGTGCTGGAAGCCGGGTTCTTCACAGAGGAGGCGGCGAGGATGATCACAAGCAGCACTAAATGATACGTGGGGGAGATGGGTGGGCTGATGCTTGTGTCAGGAGTACCACTGAGGTTCTACAGTGTGTCAAGCGAGACACACTGAAGCCAGGAACTGAGCAGATGTAGCCAGCTGTGGGGGCCCAGGACTAGCATCCTAGCGACTCTCAGGAGGATCTCAGGTTAGGGGTCAGCCTGGGCAACTTAGTGAGACCCTACCTCAGAACAAAATAAAAAGGACTTCAAGTCCTTGTACTATAAAAAAGACCAAAAAAAAGGATGTGCGTGCAAAATGATTTCAAGGGTGAAGGGAAAAGGGTGTGGGAATGGGTGAGCTATGGGAGTGGGGAAAGAGGAGTCCAGGAAGCCCAGCAGCGTTCTGAGTGGATGGCGGCCATCTTAATGGAAATAAAGACATGAGGGACCTTAGGTTACTGTGAAATATCTGGGTGGAGATGTTTAATACACAGGTCCACACACGCTGGGAACGTTCCAGTGGTCAGGAAACAGACTGGGGATAAAGGCGCGAGCAGGGATATTTGATAGAGGAAAACAGACATGAAGTTCCACAGCACAAGCTAGGGATAAAGATACCTCCTTCTCCGAGGCTGGAAGACGGAGTCAGGACAGGCCTGTCCAGGGCAGCCATGAGCCGTGGCGGGCTCTCTACTGGACAGACAGTGAGACCGGGCACCCTACACAAGGCGGAATTCCTGTGTGCTGCCAGCCCTCCTCTCCTTCTATTCTGTCTTCTTCGATTCCAACCTATTGTACCTCACCTTGATAACTCGCTCCATCACACTTTTATCTTCTCAAACCTCTACTTTGTAATTCTTGATCAAATTCTTACCCCATCCTTTCAAAAAATCTTCTATTCAAGCCTCTGCTAAAGCCAACATATTTCTCTTTTCACTTTCTAGTATGCCTTCTGAAATTCTGTTATTTACAGTTCATAAAGCACTTTTATGTAGTATCTGAAGTAGGCTATCTAAACTGAGTGCTTCTGATAACTTCTGATAACTGTTTTCCCATATTGCCAGTCTTTATAGCTCTTTTTTTTTTAACAGTAGCAAAGTTTGCCAGGTGTGGTGACACACGCCTGTAATCCCAGCACTTCGGAGGCTGAGGCAGGAGGATCGTTGCAAGTTCAAGACCAGCCTGGGTTACAAAATGAGCTCAAGGCCAGCCTGAATGGCATAGCGAGACCCTGTCTCAAAAAGAAAAAAGTAAATAAATAGTAGCAAAGTCTTATTAAAGGTGGAAAAAAGAAAAGGTCAGCAGAGCAAGTTTGGGCCAAGTAAAAGTTGGAAAAGAAGTGCACCCTACAGCATGAGGGCAGGCCTCCATGCAAGAGAGAACATGGTGACCCATAGCTCTCATTTGGAAAAGCTGTGTAATAGTTTATCACTGAATTTTACTTTATGGACAGGTTTTCACATCCTTACTCCATAATCTAGCATTTATTGTCTTCCAAATTTTGGTGGTTTCTTTTTCCTGGAATGCTCTTCCCTGCCTACTTAATGTCCTTCCTCTCTTCCACCACCTAGCTCTTTATGTATGACACAGTTCTATCCTTCAAGGTCCTCTGTCCTCTATTTCATCTGTGACTTTCTAATGCACTGGACACATTGTTTCCTAAATGAGAGCACATGGGAGACAGTATAGAAGAATAGCAACAAGCCCATGTGACATGGAATCAAGATTTAGGTTCAAATTTTGTGAGCAAGTTCTGGAGAGCTTGAGGTACTGTAGTTACTACTCGGAAAGATTCTAGTACTCCACTGCCATCCGCCATGATCTACCTAGTTTTCTATAGTACCTGCTGGCAAATGAAACTGGGATTTAGTGGAGACCATTACCCCTTTGAGGGTGATACACACCTCTACAATTCCTCAGGGATACAGTTGTCATCGTGTTCTCCTCTTTTTTTTTTTTTTTTTTATGGTGCTGGGGATCGAACTCAGAGCCGTGTGTACACTCTACTACTGAGCTATCCCCCAACTCCTCTGTTACGTTTTTAATTTACTGTCTTGGCTGAGAGAGTGGTGGGGATAGCAATTTCAGAAACACACTCTTATTATCTCTTAACCCACGGATCAGGGAAACAGTATGAGGAAATGAGAAACCAAGGGGGAGCTTTCTAATGACAGGAAATGTTGCATATATTTTTATATTGATGGGGGTGATGAATTTGAGAATTTATTGGGGGGTAAAAAGAGTGCTGTTTTCAGAATCACATCTTCACCCAGGAGATGAGATCCAAAGGACAAATGGTGGCTGGGCTTTCAGGGCCTATAAACACTTTCATTGCAACAGCAACGAGGGCAGGGCCTGAGGGTGCAGAGGCAGACAGAGGTGGGTTGGGTGGTGAGTGGTCAGGTGGTTGTGACTGCCCTTGCTCCCTCTGTGAATTCTGAGCTGGGGAAGGAATGAAGGCCCTCCTATACCAGCCTTGTAAATTCCTCTGTATTCCCTGTAGTGTCTTTTCATAAGGATCACAGATAATTTTTTTCCTCGGAAAGTACACAAAATTTAATTCATTTTTAAGCCCTTGGTAGGTGAAAGAGCACTTACATCTTTGCTTGAACATAATAAACATACCTCTTTGCTGGATATTTTTAATTAGGTGTGTTAGTTTTCCACTGGTATTGCAAAATACTGAGCTAAACAATTTAAAAGGAAGGTTTATTTGAGTTCAAGGTTCAGGGGTTTCAGTTCATGGTCACTTGGGATTGTGATGAGGCAGAATATCACGGCAGGGAGCATACTGTGTGGAGCAAAGATGCTTACCTCATGGTGGCTTGGAGAAGGAGTGACAGAAAGAGAAGCCAGGGTTCTGATTTCCCTTCAAGGGCATGTCCCAATGACCTAACTTCCTCCCACTAGGCCCCACTTCTTCAAGGTTCTGTCATCTCCCTCAGTGACCAAGCCTTTAGCATATGGGCCTCTGGGGGACACATAAGAGCCAAACCATAATATTAGGTCTACAGTCAAAATTGGGTTGCAAATTTATGGAAGAAAGTTATGTCCATCACAGTGGCATAGGGGCTAGGGATTTAGCTCAGTGGCACAGCGCCTGCCTGGCAAGTGCAAGGTCGTGAGTTTGATTCCTGGTACCAGAAGGAAAAAACAAAAATCATTTAGAATCCTCCATAACAGTGGCATAGCTTCACTGAGTCATCAAATACTGAGTTTCACTGGGCATAAAGCACTGTCCCACGACACTGGGTCAGAGAGCCTCTGGCATCAGAGTGGTCACAGATGGGAGACAAATAGGAGACACAATGAGCTGTGTATTGGGCCAGAAGTGCCATGGAAAAGAGAGCAGTAGGGAACTGAGTGTGGGCGGTAGGGAGCTGTAACTGTAATGTGTTACAGGAGGTCAGGGAACGCCTCATTGAAAAGGGAACAGTTGAGTAAAGGTTTAAAGGACAGGCAATTACCTCTGGGAATAGAGAGAATAAAACCAGTGCTTAACAAACACTTTCACCAGCGATATTGAGGGGAACTGTAAGGAGTCAAAGGGAAGTAATGCTCTGCTCTTACAGCATTAAAGGAGTAACATGACAGGAGTGAAGCTCAGCTGTGGGTTTGGCTGAGCTGTCAGAGTAAGAGGAAGCAGGACATGGGCCACTGCTGGAAAACAGATACCTTCAGAGAGACAGGTGTGCAGGTGAGAGCAGGAAGACACCTGGGAGGACTTACATCAGCAGGCGAGATTCTCAGTTCCGTTAAGGGTGGAACGCTTTGGGAGGAAAGCTGCTTGTGCGGGGAGAATGGGGATCATAATAATGCAGAATTTGTGCGTACTCAGCTCTGGGCAACTATTTTACTTCCCTGAAACATATACTTCTGCTTTTTATATTCATTGGACAATCGCCCAAGGCCCTCTGTTTTCTGTTATGTTTTTGTTTTCCATAAATTTACCACAGTAGCGACATCCAGAATAGGCACCTGCTGCACCTTTTATAGCTGGTTGTCTAAAATTCAAGTCAGAATCTACTAGGAATCATCTGAGGAGGTCACTGGAATGCAAGCTCCTGCATTACTCTGACAGGTTCAGTCTGGGTCTAAACATGCCCAGAGACCTGTGAGGGCACCTTCTAGGATCTCTCTAAGTGAGGGAGAAGATGGTCTCCCCAGGTGAAATCAGTCCTCCGAAGGGGAAAGGCAATCGGTGAGAGCCCCTTGGGTCTGTCCAGCGTGACGTCTCTAACATCACCTGCTATCGCAGTCCCACCAGTTTCTGGTGCAAGGACACAGCAACAAGCTAAAGAGAACGATGTGCTTGTCATCGGTCAATCCCAGGTCCGTGCTGAAACTCGGGCAGCAGAAAGCTCCTCACAGTGGGGGATGGAGATTCTTCTCGTCAGTGGAGAACTCGGCCAAGTTTCCCCCTGGCAAAGGGGGTCAGCAGCCCTGGCAGCTTTGGCCCAGAGGTGGAGTGGGAGGGTGTCCTCCTGGGGGGTTCCCCACATCTGCGGGGCGCTGGTGGCAGCAGTAAGAGCAGCAGTGGTGGCATGGTGGCCTGGCCCAGTGGAGCTGAGTCGACTCTGTCCGCACTGTCAGGATAGGGTCAGCACAAACTGCAAACTACCTTTACAGGGACGAGAAGACAAGGAGACCTGGAGCTGAGACAGTGCAGGAGTAGAACAGCAAATGGAGCCTGGAAGCGGGCTGCCCCACTCAAACCTTGCATCTGCCATTTGCTAACTTTTGGAGACCTTGGGCAAATTACTACCGACTAAGTGTCTGCTTTCTCTTTGGTCAACGGTGATACCCAGCTCGTGAGAATGTCTGGAAGATGAAATGCGTTCTAAGGAAAAGTGATAGGCAGTAACCAATACCTAGGGGCTGGCTTAGTTCATCATCTGTAGGACGCCTCACACCAGTGCAGGCCCACACTGCTGCCGTTCAGATTAACTGCATGAACCCAAAATGCAATGCGGATGAGAAGGGAAGTAGGAAAATTGTCCAGCCACTGCCACACCCATTACATAGTCACTATATACTTATGACACGCCGGACACTGTTCGGGGTGATTCAGAACTCAGGGTTGATTCAGAACCCAAGAACATTTTAGAATCGCCACTTAACTATGAGAGATGCTGTGGGCACGTAGGGTCAGATTTTTCACATTTAAACAAATGTTGCCCTCCCCTTTTTCTTTGCTTTTTTTTTTTGTGACTTTTTTTTATTTTAAAGAGTAAAAGAAGGATAACATAGTCATAGGGGGGCTTACCGAATTACAGACAAAGTGGTAGGAAATTATCAATGGTTGTTTTACATATTGTTATCTACAAGACAGTTTCTCAGGAAAGCAAATAGACAGATAATAGTTACAGACAAAAGTGGTAGGAGATTATCAATGGTTGTACTATACGTTGTACTATGTACCATTATCAATGGTTGTTGTACTATACTTTGTATACTTTGTTGTACTATACTCTTCAAAGTGGTTTCTAAAGAAAATAAATAGAGCTATGCATGAGTGACCAATGGAATAATCATTGACTATCCTCAACGGTTGTTGAAGGAAACACATAGTAATAAACATACATCCATTTACGAAATAGTATGGGAACAATACAAACATTACAGAGTTATGGACAGATTAGTAGGAAAATATCAATGGCTGCTGTAATACATGGTGGTAGCTTCAAAGTGGTTTCTCAGGATTTCTTGCTTTTAAATGTCACAGAAAGGGAGCCCACGTTCCTTACATCACTGTTACTTAAAATTATGCAAAAACTATTGCGCCCACAGTCAGGCGGCTGGCCATTCAAATAAAGTAACCGCTGACGACGCTAATTAATTGGGACAGCGGGGGGGAGGGGGGGGGACCCGGTGCCAAACCTCAGGTCCCCAGGCCGTGAACACCGCAGGCCGCCGACTCTCGCGGGAACCCGGGTCCCGGCCCGCGGACCACGTGACTCCGCAAGCAGGCAGGCGGCCGACCAGCGAGCCCCGCCCCTCGGCGCTGAGCGGCCACGTCGGCGGCGATCGGCGGTCCAAGGAGGGGCGTGACCAATGCCCGTGCGCGGTGCGTGCCCCGCCTCTGGCCTCTGAGAGCCCGGATGAAGAGTAACGCCATTACCGCCCGAGCCGCCGAGAGCACTCGCGGACGCGGACTGGGGCTGGACACGGAGCGGCCGCGCCATGAGGCTCCTCCCCCGCTTGCTTCTGCTTGTCTTGCTAGTGTTCCCCGCCACCGTCTTGCTCCGCGGAGGCCCGGGAGGTGAGGCGGGCGGAGAAGGCCGCGGGGGTGGCCGGCGCGGGGACGCCGGCGACTGCAGGTTGGAGTCGGGGGCAGCTCGGGTTCCGGGGCCGCGTCCG